ATATAATGTGTGAACTGTGTAGGAAGTTAAAAAACACATGCATGATGTGTAATTTTAGCATATTCAAGTGTGAGGAACAGTGAGACCTATTTTAAAACTTTGTTGTGAAAAGGGAAGAGACAAAGAGCTATCGCGCTACGAAAAAATGCCGAAGAGGTTGGTTGTATACAAGAAAATATTTAATACAAAAATATTGGCACTAGTAAGTGCAGTTGTTAAATAGAAAACCGACAAGAAAAATTTCGGTCCCGAAATGTTTTCCGGAGTTTTGATAAACACACGCCACTGGAGAGGAAAACGAAAGGTTTGACAAATGCCGGGTTGAGACAGCTATTCAGCAATTCAAGTCAAAACTCCACAGAAACATAACAGAAGTAGTCTTATTTCTATAAAGGGAGGAAAAAACGGTCTTGGGAAGTTTGCCGCTTGGAGTTGTTTTTCTCTTTCACGCGGAAATCAGTCGCAAGTAGAAACTCAATAAAAAAGAATGACTCTGAAAGTGGTATTTATATAAGCATTAAACAATGATTGAAAGCAGAAAAATGACAGGAAAAGACAAATCACACCTGCAACATCTGTACGACAGAAGCCAACAACAAACATAAAACGAGCCAACAAAAATCTTTACTTACGCTGGCTTTTTGTTGCTTGAATCCTTTGAACATGACGGGGAGGGGGTCGAGACAAACTGAGCAGAGCTCATTACGAGTTTACAGGACTAAATCTCTGAGAAAGCCAAAGAAAATCAAGTACACAGAGGGCACAACGTCAAACTGGTGTTTTTGCCGTCCTCGACGGAGTCACGACGGGGTCACGCAACCATGAAAACAAACCAGATCTCTAATGTGCATGCTTCTTATGGAAAACAACTTCCGGTCGGCCATCGTCCTCGCTCCTGTCCTGGATCTTAAGGTCCCTAATGTTTTGGAAGTAGATCATTGGCTGTCCCCAAGAAGTATCCGACGGCAAAGTCTGACAAAGTTCTGTTGCTAAGTATTTATTTATTGTGATCTAATGGAAAGTGGCTGGTGGTGGGACCTTAACTGAACTCTGGCACTCGTCAGCTTGTTCTGACATCGCCATTTGATATGCCTGCACTTGCGTCTGTGCTTGTATCCAAGACCTCCATAAACCCATTACAAACCAGGTATGACAAATCCAAAATAAAGAAGAGAATTAAAAATCTTGACATAAATGCTAAACAGGTGTTGTATAAAACCTAAATGAGGAGGCAGGAGCTAATCAATATGTGCAATACAGCTGCCAGTCACGGTGTTTTGACCAGCACTATCCATTACCTTCTTTTGTTTCACTGGACGAAAAAACGGATTTACTTATGTTTGCGAAAGGTGCAAATATGTGGTAAATTTGAGCTGTAAATTTGCATTAGATTTGCGCTGTTGTGTAAACTGTGGGCAAATACATATATTTGCTAGATAGGTTTTGATACGCAAAAGTTAAGTAAATGTAATGGTTTGATACAAATTTTCTCCATATTTGCAGCATATGCAAATCTTCAACATTTCTACAAGTTTACTCAAATTGACGTCATTGGCAAAGATGGCAGTTTTCACTGTACTTCAAATGCAGGCAAAAATATTGCAAAAGCCCTAATTTGCAGTGGTGTTTGCTATTGATTGTCCAGGATACCAAAAGAGCACTTTTGCATGTAGTTTACTCGTATTTGCCTTAACAGCAAAAACAATAAATTTCTAGGTATTTGGCTGTATCATAAATTTGCACATTTGCATCAAAATTGTCCATATTTGCAGGGGGTGCAAATATAGTGAACTGAATAACATTTGCTCACAGTCAAAGGTGATGTGCATGACATTTCCTATATAACACCGGCATTAAGAGAGCTAAGGTGGCTCCCCGTGACCAGTTTTCTTAAATATACACTTGGAGTTTTAGCATTTAAATGTGTTAAGGGGTTAGCCCCTAGCTACCTTTGTCATAGATTCAAGACACGTGATTGCGTTCATGACCGTAATACTAGATATAAGAATAACTTGAATATCCCCGCTTATAAGTCAGCTTCTGGGCAACGCACATTTTTATACTGGGCAACGAGTTTCTGGAATTCTCTTCCATGTGAAATAAGAGAATGTGATAATTTGCCAATCTTCAAGAGACATTTAAAGGAATTTCTCAGTAGTTTTTAATTAGTAATGTGATATATTTTAACATCTATTAGAATTTTAGAATTTTACATGTTTAATTTTAATGTATTTAGTATTGATTGTAATTAGTTTTTAAAACCCATTTAGTGGAATACTAATAAACACATTCCATTCCATTCTATATATTTGACTTGTTTTGTGACTTAAGTAAATTGAAAAAGAGATTGCCTCTAATAATAACAATATGTCCTCCTTCAAAAACAAATGGAGCCCTCTTAAACTTTGCCCCTCGGACAAATAAACTTGCTGTTTTTTAAATAATTCCAAAAGTTCCAAAAGTATTTTAAATTTTGAAATAATAATTAATTTTTTTAAAAATTTTTTGGCTTAATTATTTCGAAATTCTTTTTCATCTTTTTTTTTCTTTATCTCTTTTACCTTTTTTTTTTTTTTCCTCCAAAAAAAATTAAATATTTTAAATAAAAATTTTAAAAACAAAAAAAATTTATAAAAAAAAAAAAAAAAAAAAAAAATTTCCAATCTCAACTGCAACATTACAATGTTACGTTACAATTTAGATCAATTTATGCACGCCGCGAGACTCCGCCCAGAGGTCCAACCCCTTACGTGCAGCTTTTTCACTGTAAAGGTACCCCTTTCCTTTACCTTCCATTTATTAATGGCACCCCTTTCACATATCATGTTGGAAGCCCACCTGACCTACATGTAGTTTCCTGTTACCTATTGTAAATTAATGCACTGTCACTTTAATATAAAGGAATCAGGAACCAGTTTTTTTTTTACTATTTTACAGTCACAAATTTCTTCTGTTAGTCTTTTTATTTACACAACGAAATGACAGATAGTCTACCCTCTCATATACTTTAACTCAGGAAATCCCTATCCTTTCATAACTGAAGCGTGAAAAAGGTGTCCTTTTCAGACAGTGCCCCCAGCATAACCCCTTCCCGAGCTTCTAATTTAAAGCCAATACACTAATTCAAATCTGCTCAGGGTTATTAAGGTCCAGTAGTCAGATTCATTGATACACTTTATTTCCTATCAGCGCCGTGGCCATAGCCAGTATGAGGCAAAACGAGGCACTTGCCTCAGTCATTTAAGGTTTGATCCCAGTGTTTTGCTTAAATGTAGTCATCATTATAGAGAGCCTAAATAGCTAGGCGGGTAATTCAACCATATTGGATATTGCCTCAGTCCTTATTTTTTCCTGGCTATGGCTCTGCCTATCATCATATACAAATTCCATTATTAACTTGGGACAGTGTACATTGTAACAAGTGGTATTCCCTTTTGCACTGCAATTACCACAGGGGTCCTTAAATAACACCTATAAATGAGAACTATGTAGTGGTTGGATGGATGTGAATTCATCTTCAATAATATTACATGATGCTTACTAACAAGTTGAATTGGGAAACCAAATTACTTCATGTACATTGGTGTTAAATATTATGTTTTTCAAGGGTCGTCATACATATACTGCAGGGTTCTTTCTATATTTCCGACAATATTTATACTGATTCTAGAATATTATGGGCATCATACTGGATTTTTTTTTTGTAGTTTCGACTGACCACCTAAAGATGACCACATCTTGGTGGTGAGCTTCCTAAAAATGACCACATTTTGAAAGCCAACAGCCAATACTACAACAAAATATGGTGAAACTGCTCAATTAACTCAGAAGACAAGCTACCGAGCTACAATGTGACTTCGGTGGACGCTGTTTTCTCAAGTGGGTTTGAAAAGCTTGGCCTTTAGCGGCAATATGGACGACAACTATGTAAAGCAGCGTTTTATTAGCAGAAAGGTCACACTCTTTACTAACGGAAAGACATTGTGAAAATATTATCTTTGACCACAGTCAATTACTCTTCAAACGCCAACTGGGTAACACCAACCGAAAATATTACTTCGAACTTACTGCCGCGATGATAACTGTAAATCTATATCATTTCAAAAGCCTCAGCTCAGTATATCTAGAAGAAATGATCTTAATGATCATGATTAACATCAACAAAAGTAAACCCAAATATATACAATGAGGTTCTCAGCGAACCAATGATGAAATTCTTGTTCTGGAATATGAGGAGTTTTACACAATCTTAAAAAGAAAAATTAACGATAAATCATGATGTTCTTATGATCATTTAAATAAAGAATAATCCTTCAGGAGTTGTGAATATTGTTACAGGAGGAAATCTTGAGAGCTAAATTTTCGAAAGTTAAGTCTGACACTTTTGAGATCAGATGCACTTCCATACGCGCTAAACGTTTTGTTTACAACTTTTTTTCTGGTTTTCTAGCACTAATTTACGCACATTTTCACAAAAATATTTTCACGCCCTCAACACGGAATACTTTTCAACTAGGTTCATTCTATCACATTTGCCAGTGACTATGTTTTATCGTCAATCTTTCGGTTCTATAAAATCTTAAACATAATCTCCATAATGTCATGTTAACTCACTACTTCCTGTGATAACTTTTAAAACTTACGTACTGAAAATCCTGGCAAAATACAAAGGAAGGAAGTTAAGGTTCCGAAAAATACAAATATTAATTCTAGGTTTTTACATGATCGCTATAATTTTGTCCAAACTTGGCCTTTTTGTTGGGTCTGCATTCAAGGCCTGAACAAACAAGACAGGAAGGTGTCCCAGTTCCGCTTTTCTAAAAATTGTCTCCGCAATTTTTGTGAGGCTAAAAATGTCACTGGCAACGCTTTGGCCTCTGAATCCTCCCACAATTTCGGGGGCAATATGTGGAAATTCCCTAGGCCGTTCCGGCCTCTGATTGGTGCCAGAAAACTTGTGTTTTTCTAGCACCAATCAGAAGCCAGAACGGTGGCGACCGTTTGGAACTGGTGTGGTAAGACATTGTCCCCAGGGGCTCTTCTCGCCGTTCTTTACTTTTCTTCGTGCCACATTTTTCCGCCTGCGGTAGGCTTTCCCTTGTCCCCACTATCTGCCCCTGGGTCTCCGAGGATGGGAACTGCCGTCCTGGGACCCATGAAACTGCATAATTATGTGATAGGGGGCCCGCTCTGAGCAAACGCCAAATAAAAGCGGAAGACCAGGATGGTCACCGAGTTTGGTCATGATGCGCGCCTCATAAATGAGCTCCTCTCGCACTCTCGTCTCCGCTTCCTTTTTACTATCGTTGTTATAGTACCTCAAACGAAACTCTTTTACAACCACATCGATGCCCCTGTATGCTGCCAGGTAGCATGAACTGAAACTGCCACTGCCAAGGGGGACGTTTTCATTGCTAGTTGATCTGGACAAATTTCTTGCACGAGTAAATACCCATTCTACAACCAAAAAAGAAAACGATAAGAGGGATTTACCAGCTTAATGAACGTTTCCCTTCGACTCATCTCTGCTTGAGCAGCTCACTTTGTTTACCTTGAGATGTTATACATCCCACTGTCCTATAAACTTTTAATACTATGAATAAAAACAGGTCAAGGATTATATAAGTTCACACGTTGTTGGAGATGTTCATACTTTTAATCTACTGTATGTTTTCATTTCATTTCAGCCAGATGGTGCCACTTCACCCATACTAGTGTCAAGATCGAATTTTTTGGTCACTTATAAAGAAGATTGGAAGCGCCAGGCTTAATGCGGTAAAAGAATGCAGGCACTTAAAACCACCATTCGGGTGGCGTTATGCATGTCCTTCAAAACGTTCGAAATGAGTGACCTGAAAAGAGCTCTGTCCGAGCAAGAATCTGTGGATTTGCATGTAACAAAATCGTTCAGTGGGTCCAAAGAAATCGACGGCGCCCCCTCCCAGCTTTCTGGTCGCACGGCCCTTGAGGCTGCTAAAAGGAAGCGAGTCCACCAACAAGCATCTCTAAGGTCAGAAATCATTTCTGGGGATGGAGAAGGAAGAGCAACCAGGGAATGTGAACTGATATGGGGTCCTATTTTTGACTCCTCAGACAATGGCTTTCTCACTTTAAGAGTCTATGTTGGCAAGGTCCACCTTTGACACTTTTTATGCTATAGTTACATTGCATATGACAAAATGAACGTTCTTAAGTTAACCATGTTGAAAAGAAGACAACAAAAAGTTTTTTAAAACAATAAGCCTTTTTTTGTTTTTCTTTTTCTTTTGGGCGTTCAAAGTTCAAAACTAGAAACAAGTTTACGCTCAAAAGGCTCGCAGCATGGGGAAAATTCCTCGTGCTAAGAAAGAGATCATCAGAAGTAACCAGGAAGGGGAGATTTTTCCTTTCTAAATGAATCCTGTTAAGGAAAATCTTATGGAGAAAAATTCTGCAAGCGGTCATGCCTTAAAAACGAGCCTTAAACGCAAGAAGAGAAAAAGGCATGCGAACAAGTGAAAACTGTTGCACCCCTATTAACAAATTATTACTTACACCCCTCTGATTATTTCTAATGGTGCCTTATTCTTACTTTTCGAGACCTGCGAACTGTCAACCAGTGAAACAAATGATTATACAAGTTAAAAAGTCTTAAGCAAGTTCAAATCAAAGTTTTGCTATTTTCACTTTACTTACACTTGAACAGTGCGTGTTAACATTATTTTTCCATTGTCCTCTGTACAATTCATTGAAGTTTTGTTTTATGGTATTACAAGCAAATTGGTTACACCCAACCAAAGTTCCACAAAGGAGAAAACAAGAAATATAATTGATTTATGTACATGGAATATATATAATAATCATTCTTGTAGTTGTGTTCATAGAAAAGTCTTCGTTTGCTTGATCCCACTTTCAATGCAAATAAAAGGCTTAATTAAAAGAAACTGACCTGTTGATCAGGATACAAATGAAGGTATTGATTTTGTCACAAAGTTAAATATTAGTTATCTTAGTTCAAGAAAAACCCTGAAAAAATATCTCAGATTCAGAGACAGTTACTTTTTAAAATATAAAAAAATGTTCAGGAAGCTTCAGTATAATTGTTAATAACTTTTGTTGAGACGGCCAAGCACTGTAAATAAGAAATATACAAAAAAGAAGTCATCAGCGTTTCGATACAAATAAAATGATGTTGACATTTTTAAGCCTCACCATGTATTGCAATGGCTACTGGTATTTTGTACTCTCTGGAACACCCAAACAGTAAAATTCTCAAAGAGCCACAGCCTAAAAAGGCTAAGCTGTTCTGTTGCATCAGGAAGGCCAAATTGTTTTTCTTAATTCTGACAGGGGTTCAAATAAATAAAAGCTCATTTTTAGTTTCTCCTGAGACACCTGGAGAATAAAATTCTCAAAGAGCCACAGCCTAGTAAAAAGGCTACGCTGCTCTGTTGCATAAGGAAGGCCAAATTGTTTTTCTTAATTCTGACACGGGTTCAAATAATCTCTAAAGGATCATTTTTAGTTTCCCCTGAGACACCTGGAGAATAAAATACTCACAGAGCCAAAGCCTAGTAAAAAGGCTAAGCTGCTCTGTTGCATCAGGAAGGCCAAATTGTTTTTCTTAATTCTGACGCGGGTTCAAATAATCTCTAAAAGATCATTTTTAGTTTCCCCTGAGACACCTGGAGAATAAAATACTCCTACAGCCACAGCCTAGTAAAAAGGCTAAGCTGCTCTGTTGCATCAGGAAGGCCACATTGTTTTTCTTAATTCTGACACGGGTTCAAATAATCTCTAAAAGATCATTTTTAGTTTCCCCTGAGACACCTGGAGAATAAAATTCTCAAAGAGCCACAGCCTAGTAAAAAGGCTAAGCTGCTCTGTTGCATCAGGAAGGCCAAATTGTTTTTCTTAATTCTGACGCGGGTTCAAATAATTTATAAAAGCTCATTTTTAGTTTCCCCTGAGACACCTGGAGAATAAAATTCTCACACAGCCACAGCCTAAAAAGGCTAAGCTGCTCTGTTGCATCAGGTCGAAAGTCAAATTGTTTTACCTATTGCTGACAGGGGTTCCAACAAAATCTCTAAAAGCTGCTTTTTAGTTCCCATTGAGGGCCCAGAGAATAATTAAAAGTTCTTGCAGAGCCAGAACCTAAAAACTAACTGACTTGAGCAAAATTCCAATTTAAATAATTACTCACAAATTGATTCCTATAAAGCACATAGAGAAACATTCCTTCTCACAGAGTCGCAGCCTTAAAAAGCCAAGCTCCTCTGTTGCTTCCAGGCCATATGGGTCCCCAAGGAGGATTCCTGAAAAATGTAAAAAGCAAGCTTCTTAGCAATTTGTACAGTTCAACAGTAAATGAGGTCCTTGACAGTTAACCTCCAGGGCTACAATAAGATGCTACCCTAAACACTGGTTATTATTATTAGAGGTCAATAAAGCCATTGGTGATCTAGTAAGAAACTAACCATTGTCTGTTTACTATGAGCATGTTGGAGTAGTAATGCAATAAAACAATATATTTTCGTCTGGCAAATAAATCTGATTTTTATGCAAGTCTTTATTGTTTTACTCCTCCAACATGGCTGCTGTGAACACACTTAATAAGAAATTAAGGAATATTGTATTGAAATCTTAGCATTGTAAGTTGTACAAAAACGAGCAAGCAGCCCTGGACATCTATCTACTTTTCCATGACTGTCCATGATGGCTTAGAGTCCTACATAGATCACCACTTAAGAACCTGAATCATCAACTGTTTCCTCAAAGGTCTCATTTCTGTGTAACTCCATCCAAACTGGTACACCACCTCTTCTAAACCCTTGTGAAGGAAATCTCTTGCAGCTAGAATGACGCCTACACCACAACTTCCAGTGCCTTGACCTGCTCTTACGCATCCATGTTGAGATGGCATACCAAAACGCTCAAATTGATTAATGGAATTCCAGAAGGAATTTTGAAAGCAAGTAGCAGCAGGCCTTATACATTGAAAAATATCAAGGACATACTTGATGTTCGGTAGTACACGCGCATCAGGCTGCAGTTTGTAGCCATCATCAAACAATAACCTACCATTCAGCAAATCAATTACAATTAACCCCCGATGTGATTCATTCATGTGTAACTGGCACAGAATGACATCCAGTTCTTCCCTTCTAGAATTTGACATTACTTGCTCAAGTTTCCTCTGAATAAAACAAGGGCTGTTTGTCCCAAGCCAGGTGTGGGTTTCCGATGGCAGGCAAAGTGCTCTCCTCAAACTTCCTTGATTCAGACATTCTTGGAGGTAGTACCATATCGTGACATCAATGACAAAATTATCTACGTACCTCTCACCGACCAGAGTTGAGAAAGATGAAACATCAAGGGACTTCATACCAGCTCTCAAAATCGACTCACCTGTCCTCCGATCCCACAGCACCTCTTTAATGCAGGATATTTGATCCACACTAAGACCATCATGATTGTCTTTATGGGCATTATTACAAACACGTGTGGTACCTTACTTGACAGCACATTTATCAGAACCCTGCTTTGAACTTACTGGTAAGAAGTACAAGTGATTTTGCAAGAACATAAAGCATGAGTCACTCTACAAAGTTTAAGGAAACATCAAAAATAAAAATAAAACAACTCTTTACCAGGTCTAAGGTTTTCGACAGCTTTTTAAACAACATGGGGTTTGAGGTCAATTATTTGCCTCTTGTTATTAGAAACCCACATCCCGAAATGTTGTGTTCACTATCTTGAATATTGCATGTTTACTTTCCTAATCCCCATTTTCTTTTGGAGAATCCCACTTTGCAGAAGAAGTCAACGACCATATCCTGACTGTTTCTAGAATCCTGCATTGTATTTTAGTCCCTGGATCCCAGCAATACCCTTTCATACCCTGGGAGAAATGTTGACTACAAGTCAATAATAGCATTGTTTAGGTAACAGATGGACTGCCTCTATACCAGGAAAATTCTGCTAATCATGATAAGTATCTCATTTAGCCTGACAAAAAAATTGAAAAAAGGTTCCACCAGTT